ATAATAGAATCTGTTGGTTGGTATTATCAATCCAATTAGGACCGCCTTAGCACCTACTATAAACGAAATTGAGGTGACCAATGTTGACTCGGCATCTTCCGACGACGAGGAAATTCTGTCAACGCTACTTACAAACAAAATAACCAGCAAAAGGAAGTTATCTGCAAGTGCCAGAGACAACAAAGAACCACCAAGAAACAAGAAGACCAGGTAAAAGAATCCAAGATATTTCCTCAGTTAGTTACTTTTCGGTAATGATTGAGGTATGCAATATTATATGATTCTAAGTCGGACTTATCCTTTATTTGTAGTAATCGCACAGCTAAAACGGCGAACAAAAAGACAAAAGTTTCTGGAGTTACTTCGGTCGATACACATGCAGAACACACAAGCTCTTCGTCGGCATCATTTGCTAAAGAACCAGCTAATACACCATCTGCAATTGAAGCTCCGGAGAAACGCAAGCGTCGGCCGTCGCAAAAATATTCTTAATCTTATGGATGAAATACATTGGTCTAAGAACTCACAGGAGTTTACTTAGTGTTGCAATTTCAATGTTTAGACAACCATATTTGGCTCTAGAACAGTTTTATAAGTATGATATATATTCGGAATAAACAATTCGGCTATTCACTTTCAGTTTTATAAGTATGATTTAGATTCGGCTCTTAACTCTCAGTTTTATAAGAATTCAGCTGTTTAATATTACTAGATAATAAAGCCCGTGCTACGTGACGGGTTTCAATTTGTAATTTGTTTATCCTGATAAAAATATAGAATAAGATCACGTCAAACATATTGAAAGAGCTATCGGTGAGAATCTTAATCACCTACTTTGTGACGCTACAAATGGTCGTTCTATTCCGTCACTAACACATTTATAACTTATAAATGTTCCTTCCCCAAAAGATACAAAATCGAATCGAACTCATAAAGCCAAATTACAACAGTTAACCCACATCCAATTCTATCTCTTGTGGTTTTGGCATCAATAGTTTTGCACTATCAGTAATAGTAGAAAATTTGTTACCTCTGAATGAGTACGATAGAAGTCCATTCTTATGTAACTTATTTTGCTGAATTGTTCGTTGTCGATGTCCATATCCTCTGCAATGGAAGAGGGAGGGGGGAGAATTCCTCCCAATCAACTACATTTAAACTTTAAAGTAAAAGTAAACTTCAGTGGCAATTGATAACGTGAGCAAAACACAAATCATTCATCTCACTTTTAGCAAGAGAGAGTACAGAGAGCTTTCCAAAGCTTCTTATTATACCAGTATACTAAACTACTGTCATAACCCTTATTGAACCAAAGAAGAGTATCTCATAATGTAGACGCATAACATAAAGCTTAGAACCGGTTCTTATACAGATTGAAAGCAATTCATAATGTCAATCACCTTAGCTACTCCCTCTTCTTCTAAAATGACCATTTATAAAATATCTTTTTTTTTATATCCAGAAAAGACCCAACACCAAATTGAGAAGAATGACATCAGGTGATTGTACCTCCAGCAAACCATATTTTTAGGCTTCTTCCTTCCTGTCTATTCTAGTTTAAACTCTAGGGATCCAATTTCTTAAAATGGCTCGATTAATCTAAAAGGGTTAGGCTTCATCCAATAAAAGAAACTGGTTCAACCCCATCTTCTGTGGACTCCCCTTCTAATATGTCAAATCCGTTGAATGAAACTGAAACATATTCCAGTGACGCTAAAGAAAGTCGTCATGGAACTTGGACCTTATATGAACCTTAGAACTGGTTCTATTCTAAGCTGAAATAAACCCATCTTCTATCAATGCTCATACACATTCTGTTAATTTACTACAACCTAATATGGAAGAAGAAAAACTTAGTGATGTCAAGATATGCTTGATTCCTTCATTAGACCTGTCCACCTAGAGCAAAGTATGAGAGCCTTGGGATTGCCATCTTCATCAAGTCAGATGGTCAATGTTCCCAGGAATCCAGAATATATGAAGCATCCGTATCACTCTAAGGTGTGAGATTTGTCTTCAATGGCAGGATTGATAATCCTGAAGAAAACATAATCTATCATGTTAGACCTTGTTCTCTTTCAGACTTAATTCATTACATGATCAAATGAAAACTCAAATGTACAAAATTAGTGAACTGTTCTTCATGCTACTTCAGTAGACCTTAGCAACCTATTTGTTTTGCATCATCCTAAAAGCTATTTTAAGGTAGGGGATACGTTTTCTTTCTTTTTGTAAATGATAAAAAGGGGATATTTTGCAACCACATCCGACCAAGGAGTTCTATATATGATGAAGAAGAGGGGCTGGGAGGCATGGTATCAAATGGTTTTTTAGTTCATTGATTGAGTTTGTTCAATGAAGGTACCTGAAGGCTGAAACAGAGAACTGTTCTTCATGCTACTTTAGTAGACCTAGCAACCTATTTGTTTTGCAACATCCTAAAAGCTAACTACAGCAAAGCCTGAACTTAAACGCTCCCATGTGTTTTGCATAAAAGATAGTGACAGACTGGAATGGAGTAGTGATTCATTTTGTTGATATATTCTCTTGGGAGTAATGCCACCATGACTACTTTGTTTCCCCAATCGACCTCCAGCCCCGTCATTGTAATCCCAATCAAAGTACTCGGTATTGAGCCTGTAAACCGTGCTGCACAGTCGGCTAGAAATTGCCGCATAGTCAGCTAGAAATTGACAGATTGATGATTTGACAGCTTCGACTTCCCCTACTGAACCCTTGGAATTGAGAAAACAAAATTGAAGAAGGGGCGGTGAGGGCTCCCTGAACACGCTAGAAAGTAAAGAAACAAAATCGGTTGCAGTGGTGATGGCAAATTCACCGTTGAGAGAGATGGATTGCAAGAACCAAAATCAGGGCTAAGAATAACTAACCCTAGATTACCTCCTTTGATTCAATTGAAGCAGAAATAAAGAAGAAAGGGTATCATCTCCAATGTGCTGAATCGAGTTGTTGACTCACCAAAATCCAGCGATTTACTGTAGCCCTCAGCAGAAGGGAACTCATTCACGTCGCCGGTCTTGCTGTCGCCGCTCATGCTTTGTCAACTTCGCAATTGTTCGGGCAAGTAGGAGCAGCTTCCTACTTTGTTACCACCGTCGCCGTCTGCTGGAGTGAGGTTCCCGGCGTCATCTGATGGAGCGTCGTTGAGTAGGTTTAAGGATTGGGATGTGAGGAGGTCCGCCGCCGTCGTTTGGGGGAACTCATGCTCGTCGCCGGTTCGCCATCGTTGCCTCATTCTTCATCGTTTGGTAGATAATTATAGCTTCATAACACAGCAACGATACAAAGTAAATCACAGAGTCACACCGAATCTATGAGTGGAGCCAGTAGAAAGGGGCTAGGGATTTTTATTCCTTCTTCATATTTTGATTTTGCAGGGAAGAGTGGAGAGAGAGGTAAGGAGAGAGGAAGAGGGAGGCGATTGATTTTACAGGGGAAGAGCGGAAGGAGAGATAATAAATAAATGAGAGGTGATTTGGTGCAGGCAATTCTAGGTGGACCCGTGCATCTTTCTTGCCCAGCCTAAATTGGGATACTCAGGCTTAGCTAAATCTGTGTGCACGGAATCTTAAAACCTTGCGGTGAACAGTAACCTCGAAAATTTCGTAATGAACAGTGACCCGAATTTTTGGGAACTTGCACTTTAATAATTCTTTGATTTTGCAGGGAAGAGTGGAGAGAGAGGTAAGGAGAGAGGAAGAGGGAGGCGATTGATTTTACAGGGGAAGAGCGGAAGGAGAGATAATAAATAAATGAGAGGTGATTTGGTGCAGGCAATTCTAGGTGGATCCGTGCATCTTTCTTGCCCAGCCTAAATGGGGATACTCAGGCTTAGCTAAATCTGTGTGCACGGAATCTTAAAACCTTGCGGTGAACAGTAACCTCGAAAATTTCGTAATGAACAGTGACCCGAATTTTTGGGAACTTGCACTTTAATAATTCTAATAATAATAATAATAATCTAATAATAATATATGGTGTGCTTCCACGGTCAGTCTGCCATTTTAAGTTCTCTCCATTTCTTTGCTCATTCTACTAAAGAACTTATTCAATCTGTGCAAATGGTTTCTGCATTATTGCTTTGATACTCTGCATGTTGTTCAAGTAATTACCACGATTGGTATACAATGATTGATGTAGAGATCTTAAAATGCGTTTGTTCACCATACATATGAATGTTTGCTACATTCTCTTTTCAAAATCTTTATGTTTTATTATTATTTGATACATATGGTTTGAAGAATTTAGTTTTCAGTTCCCTCATGTAAGCTTACTGTAATTTATGTGTTGTTTAGGGGGTTTTCTTATGTTTTGTTATTATATGATACACATTTCATTCACGCTTGAACTGCTTTTGTCAATTCAGTTCATGTAATTTGTATGCTTTGGTAAACCTGCTCAGTTGTATCTAATGTCGATGCTTGGCATTTATGTAGCGGTCAGAACCTAAAGAGTTCTGCTTCAAGAGGCCAAACCCTACAATCCCTTGACGTTTCATGGATCATTGTTGATTCTTTTGTTCAACTAGGTCTACAATATATAGTGTAACAGACCAAACTTCTGAATAGGAAAAACATAGCATAATTTGTATTACTGTTGTATGGATTTTTATAAAGTTAGTTTTATTGTTTTAAAATTTCCCATTCTTTGACCACTTCCAATTTTCCTAACAAACCATTACTCTGCCTCATTTTTAATTTGATATATATGAACCTAAATTTTACATTAATCCCAGCGCGGAGCGTGGGCAATGAAAACTAGTATTTAGTAAGCACACTAAATGATGAGTGCATTACTCTTAAAAAAAAATTTAAACATGAGTACTAAAAGGTCTAAAGTCCATACCTCACAATAACCACATGGTTCCCCAAATAAAAATAATGAAACAAAGAGCCTAAACATAAAACAATAATCATGAAATCACTCAATCAATTTTCAAATGGAAACGGGTTAAAGACACATTTGGTCACTGAGATTACAAAATCGGGACATGTTTAGTCACGAGAAAAAGTTAATATCAAATTTGGTCACTACAATTACTAAAACCGGACACATTTAGTCACTCGCTGTTAGTCTCCGTCCAACTCCGTTAATGAAGTCCGTTAAGTGCTAATGTGGCAAACAGAATTGCCTAATCAGCCGGATATAACCCAACAAAAATAAACCCGACCTGCCACGTCATTATAACCCGCCACGTCATCAAAACCAACCCAACCCATGACCCAACCCCACCCAACCCTTCTTCCTCCTTCCTCCCACCTCGGCACCCCCCACCTCCTTATTTCCCCAAAACCACCTGCGCCGCCGCTCTCCTCCTTCCTCCCACCTCCTCCCGCAAACCTGTTCGACCTAACCCAGCAGAGGAGACATCCTTCACCATCCCTCACCAAATCTGTTCGTCTCCCTGCTTGGCATCTTTCTCCACTCCTCCCCACAGGCCACAGCCGCCGCTTCTAATCTTCTCCGAGATCCCGCTGCGAAATCTCTGACTCGATCGATGAATCTCTCGAACTGAATTGACGAAATGGCCGGTCAGTCTGGCTCTCAGCTCTCGCTCTTCACTCCCGACGAGGTTCGTCTTTCTGCGGGCATCCATTTCTTCATGGCTAGGATTCGACTGGCACAACCCTTCAATCCCTGAAATGGCCGCCGCCTCTCGATCCCTAAGCTGGCAGTTGTACGAAACGTCGAGTTTCTCCAGCTGCGAACACGCCGAAGCAATCAGCGCCAGGCCTTTAAACGACATCCCCTTCGTCGCCCTGCTCAGATTCAGGGACTTCAAGTTCCAACGAAGCGACGCCGTCGTCGAAGCGGCACCGCGAGCCAGCAGCAGTGTCAGCATCCCGTCGTCGACCCGCGGGCAGGCGGAGAGATCCAGGGCGCCGACATTTGGGAACCGCCGAAGTAGAGAGAAGATGAACTCGGACCGCAGGACCCAGAGAGATTTTCGGGTCACGAAATCGACCCGGAGGAACTCCTTGCACACCAGTCGCCACGATCTCCGGTCGGCGCCGTCTTCGATTCTGGAGTTCACCCTAACTAGCAGGTACTCCGTCAATACTTCCAGAATTGACATTGGAGGAAATGCCGATTTGTACCTTATTCGAATTGGACCGGAGAAATTGCAATTTGAGATTAGCAATGAGAGGGTTTATGAACTCTGGCGATGTAATTGATCGCCGGCGAAGAGGGGGGGGGGATGAGGTAGAGAGGGAGAGTGATAGAGAATTTAGGTGGGGACGAAGAGGAAGAGGAGGAGGTGGCGGGAGGGTTTGGAGAGGATGCGGGAGAGGACGAGACAGATCTTACGGATCCGACTCATTTCGGCGGCGGCGTAGACCGGCTCACCGGAGAATGGAAGCAGCAACGGCGGCAGGGGAGAGCGGCGACGGCGGTGGTTTTGGGGAAAGAAGGAGGTGGGAGGTGCCGAGGTGGGAGGAAGGAGGAAGAAGGGTTGGGTGGGGTTGGGTCATGGGTTGGGTTGGTTTTAATGACGTGGCGGGTCGGGTTTTTATTTTTGTTGGGTTATATCCGGCTGATTAGGCAATTCTGTTTGCCACATCAGCACCTATCGGACTTCATTAACGGAGTTGGACGGAGACTAACGGCGAGTGACTAAATGTGTTCGGTTTTAGTAATTGTAGTGACCAAATTTGATATTAACTTTTTCTAGTGACTAAACATGTCCCGATTTTGTAATCTCAGTGACCAAATGTGTCTTTAACCCATTTTCAAAGACAACTTCAACACCATCTCATTCACCACCACAAGCATCCGACGAATCGCTGCTTAAGGAGTCCAAGTTAGTTGTTACCCTATCATCGTCATCTAATAAGTTAAACTAGGCCAAGGAACGAATATTACAATTTACAAAGCCAAACAATCAATAAATGAGGATAAAAAGATGTACATTTGCTCACTTACCAGTGTTTGAGCGTATCCATACCAAGAAGAGGAATAAGTTGGACCATGAAAGACTAAATAATCTTTTCCTTGTGAACTATAACTTAATGAACATGCATGTGGTGAAAACATTTGAGTGTCGAGTATTTATCCAATGAAATAATGACGTATTTGAATTGTAATTCATAGGACTCATGCTAAAGAGAGTACATTCAAAACTAATCCCTTTGAATATGAGTGGATTAACACCACAGACGTTTGGGTTGTGAAGCTTTGGAAGCTTTGATAAGTTAATGCAAGAATGTTGGAAAATGATATTTATGACAAAAATGAAGGAAGTGGAGCTACAAATAGGAAGAGAGGTCATAATGAATGGTGGTGGTGGCAGTGACAATTGGATGGTGGCGGTTGCAGGTCTACTTTGATGTGGTGGAGTTGATGGTGGGAGTGGCAAGAAGAGAGGAAAATGAGTTATATGTTAGGGTTAGAGGGAGAGAGAGGGGATAGATATAGAGTTATGATGAGCTAGTGATTCTGTGATCTAATTTTTCGTCCAAAAATGACTAGCCTAATCTCATTCATCAATTTAAAAAAAGCAGGAAAGAGAATGAACTCAATCATGTCTATAGAGGTTGTGAAAAATTACAACAAAGAAGAGTTGTCACCATATCTCAAAGTAGCTCAAATGAAGTGAGAAGGGGGAAGCATAGCTCGACCGATAGGTTCTTGAGATGGGTTAGAAGGCGCTTTCCGCTCCTGGAACATATAGTTTTCTGTGCAAGTCTATCTCCCAAAAGGCATCCATGTAATTGAACAACCCGTCCATAATTAGCTTTTTAGAACACACCACCATGATTATTGATTAGCAATCCAACTAGATTGTACCCCGTCCCGTTGGTCGGTTACAATATGATCACATTAACTAACAAAGTTTCAAAGTTTGAATTACAGTAGTCTCCACTTCTCTTATATTCGCGCCATGATTATATGTCAATGTTATATGACTTAACAAATAACGATACCAATTTTACCAAATAGAAGCTAGTTTCTTAGTTTTTACCATTAAGAAATTCAAGTTATTCAATTTCTGGAAAAGAGAAAATGTGCATCCATCATAAAAATTACTAACATTGTAATCAGAGCCATCTATATAGATTCTTGTTGAAAGTAAGCATATAGGTGTTCCAAAATAATCAGTATCACCTCTTAACCATCAACAACTCATCATCAACTCCATTATATTCATCATTGATAGGTGCTTCACAACAACAAAATTTGCCTCATTATAGTTACAACTGTTGGAGATTCGTTTTTTTCATCAATGATTATATTCAAAATTGTTGATGTGGTTATGGAGTTTGTGATGTAATCATTAAACTAGATGTGAAAATTCAACTTTATTCTTTCTCTCCTACCCTCCTTTCTTTGTAAATACTTCATTCCTTTCTTTAATAACACATGAGGGAGATGAGGTATCATTCTTCCACTATTTTTAATAGCTTTTTAATAGTAATTCTATCCTGACTTTTTGATGATCCAAGAAAACAAACTCATATTTGGTAGTATTCACAAGTTGAATTGAATCCTAAATATGAAAATATTAATAATTGAGTGGATAGTATTCTCAATTAAAGTTGAAAAATAAATAAGTAAATATGAAAAATATAATAATTGAGATTTATTATTTAGAGGAGCAATATAAGCTTTAGTGGGAACGATTCATGAATTAACTATAGGAGCTTCATCTCATTTGTCATAATAAAAATAAAATGAAATAATATCAAATGCATAACATTAATAGCCTTAGTAAGAATTTATTGAATTGAGCAACAATTCTACTTCATAATAGACTTATTTTCACAACACATCTCTTCTAACTTTAATAAAACCAAGTGACTTTAAATATGAATATTAAATGTTTTGTATGGGTTTTATACCTGTTCAGTACAGAAGTCCTTAAATGAACGGAAAAATAAAACAGCTTGACCATAATAAGGATACAAAAGTTTTTAAACGGATGAAATACGTAGGGGGTTTTATACATGTATTAAATGGAGTTTTTACTAACTACGCGTTTTGTAGTATGATAGAATTGTGTTTATTTTTCCTTTTATCTATTCTTATGTATAAACACGTAAAACAATGGTAATAGAAAAAACACGCTTATGTCGAAGTAAACTAAGGAAACAGACCAAAGGTAAGATAGCGTAACGGTAAGCTGCCGTGACAGTGAAAGATTAGGAGTTGTAGATCCCAGATTCGAATCCAAGCAAGGTCCTTTGGTGTTCCCAGAGGTATAAGGTTGTTGGGGACGAAGTCTCATTAGCATCGAATTGAATGCAGGTGGCCCCCATAATTAGTAGGACCAGCTGTTACAAAGTGGCACGTGAGGCTGAGGTTCATGGATAATAAAAAAAAAACTAAGAAAATGGAAAGCCCAAGTAATGCCCAGTTGTTAGTTGCCCATAGCTAACCGAAAAGTACTCAGTCAAGAAAATTTTAATTAGGTAGGTACTAAGCAAGAACCTGCTTATATGTATGGGAGGAATATTTGGTTCCCTATGGATTCAGATGTTTCTTGGGCTTTGTAAAATAACAGTATAACACATAGAGGTGGACGTTCGTTCAGTTCGGTTTAAATCGAACCGAACCAGTAGGTACCAAATTTCCGGATTGGCCTACACTCTAACCGAATTCGAATCGAGCTATAATTTGGTTCGGTTTGTTTGAACCAAATTATAGTTCGTTTCGGTTTTACTACCCATAACAAAAAATGTGTAGTTGCTGCCCATTTTTGCTTTCTGGTCTGGCCGCTGAAAATTTGGCATAGGGCTGCTGCATTTTTTTGCTTCTGATGTGAGTACTTTTCCACCTGCCATTTCAATTTTACACACCAAATACAATTAATTTAAACAAGCATTCAAAGTTGGAAGATAAATCAATTGTCCACCTTCCAAATATTCAACAAAAACACTTTACATCAAGTCCTTCCAAATCCACATATTCATTGCAACACAAATGGTTTTAAGTTCAAACTAACAAGAGAAACGTAATCAATTTCTAAATTCCAAGCATATAACTTGTACAAACTCCAAAGGTCCTGCTTCTTGGCTCTTCACTCTTGGACAATTGACACCTTTGAATTCGAAAATAGTACAAGTAACCAAGTAGAATAAAATCATTAGGTCTTACCTTTGAAGTCATCAATCATGCATAGAAAAATCAGAATTATCACCACAAGCACTAATAGATGCACTGCCATCATTCCTCCTCCCACTCTCGACATTGGAAGTCGAGGTAGATGAAACAAGATTATCTCTTATGGAGATTGCATTCATCAACTTGTCCAATTCTGTAAGAATAAATAGACTCAAAATTAGTCATGACATAAAAACTAATAATGTTGTAAATATGTAATGCTAGATTTTAGACTACCCCTTCATCTATTTTCTCAACCTCTTCTGGATCCTCCTCGACTGATGGTGGTGTAGAATCACCTCAAATCCAATCCGATCTACAAATTAAAGCCTCTACTATCTTAGGAGTCAATGAACTTCTGAAATCATCTAGAATCCTCCCACCTGCGCTAAAGGCAGATTTGGATGCAACAGTAGAGATTGGGACCCCTAGAACATCCATGGACAACATGGAAAGGGCTGGAAACCTCAAGCTATTAACCTTCCACCAACCTAGTACATCAAATTTGAGCACCATTGGCTAGTCTTCATCACGAAGTTATTTCTCAAGCTAGAATTTGTTTACCGCCCCTACAATTTGCTCTCTATGCTTTTTGTATTCAGCAAGTACATCAAGTTCATCAACATCACACTCCTCCACAATTGGGGCCAAAGAAGTAGAGGCATTCTTGGATTGTTTTGACTTCCAAAGCTGTTCATAGTGAGCAAATAGATCAAATGTAGCGGTCTTCACATCCCCCGCCATACGTGCTCCGTTGCCACCCTCAGGATACACCCTTTTCAAAGCAAAGTCAACAAAACCCAACTTGTACCTCGGATCCATTACAGTGGAGATGTAAAGTAGCTTGTTCATTTTACCCACATCTCCCCAATACTTCTCGTACTTCATCTTCATCTTGCTTGCCATGATACTCAAGTCGAGATCTTTCTCAACTTCTGTCTCCCACTTGTTTATCAAATGATATTGGGAATGCACTTCTTGTAAGAACAAGTTACAAGTGGTATATTTTGAGCCCGAAATCTTCAATGTGAAGTCGTAGAACCTACAAAGAAATCTCATCATCTTCCTTGCATTCTCCCAATCATCCTTCTCCGGGACCCCAATCATTCCATGTCTATCCTTCTTGCTTTCCACATCCTTTCAAAAATGGTCATCATACATGTCAAACATCTTGAACACCTTTTTCAAACATCTCAGCAGCTTGCAACATCAAGAATGTCGAGTTCCATCTAGTAGGAACATCAAGACACAAGCCACATTTGCCTTCTACCTTTTGAACAGTAGCAAACTCATGAAATTTTTTCAACCTTTCTGGTGAGTTTCTAATAAACCTCAGGGCTTCCCTAATTCTCTTCACCGACAAGGAAATATCTCAAAGCCCATCAGAAACAACCATATTTAAGATGTGAGCTACACATCTCATGTGAAGGAATTCACTATCACATATACTAGTACCTCTAGCATTAAAAACTTCCTTCAATTTGGACAGAGCTGTATCATTAGAGCTAGCATAATCCACAGTAATTGTGAAGACCTTGTCAATTCCCCAATCATCCAATCAAGCAATAATGTCATCAGCAATATCTACACCTTTATGAACATTATGGCCTGGTTGTTCAAACTGACTTGAATCTTACAACACTGCCAAAGACTTTTACAATTTTCTTGTTTTGGAGACATAATCCACAGTACAGAAAGGTGTTAGAGGATGCTTGGCAAGTGGAGGCAGGTGGAGCACCCTACAAAATTCTTTATAAGAAGTTGGGACAACTAAAGGTTAAGCTAAAAGTGTTGAACAAGTCCGAGTATTCTAAGATACCAACAAGAGTAAGAGAAACTGAGGCATAGTTGGAAGTGTTGCAAAGTAGTGTTCTGTGTGATCCTTCTGCATATAATACACTGGCAGTTATTGAGCAGGAGAAAGTATGTAGAGAGTTGCAAAATGCCGAGGAGTTGTTTTACAAGCAGAAATCTAGGGTTCACTGGATAACTCAAGGAGATGCTAACACTGGAATCTTTCATGGTGTGGTTAAAACTAGAAATCACAAGCAGACGATTCAGAGGTTGGTTTCTGATTCTAGAGAGGTTCTTACTGATGTCAACCAAATGAGTAACTTGGCAATGGACTTCTATAAAGGGCTCTTGGGAGTGGTTGATCCTCTAGTTCAGCAGCAACCTATTGAGTTCTTTGATAATCTACTCTGTCATAAGCTGTCTATTGAAGATGCTGCTATCCTGAATTATCCAATTACTTGTGAGGAGATAAAGAAGGTCTTCTTCAGTTTGGGGAATGATAAGGCCCCTGGACCGAATGGATACATTGCTGAGTTTTTAAAATTTGATTGGGATATTGTTGGGGTGGAGGTAGGGAATATTGTTATGGACTTCTTTAACTCAGGAGTAATGCATCGAAAGGTAAACTCAACTGTTCTATCTATTATTCCAAAGATTCCAGTAGTTGAAAAGATGAAGGACTTTCGTCCTATTTCATGCTGCAATGTGATCTACAAAGGCATATCAAAGTTGTTAGCACATAGACTGTCTTTGGTTCTCCCTACACTAATCAGTAAGTGTCAATATGCTTTTGTTAAATGGCGGGTAATTAGTGATAATATCATAATGGCAACAAAGTTGGTAAAAGACTATCATAAGAACATAATTTCAACCAAATGTACTCTTAATATTGATTTAATGAAAGCATTCGATTCGGTTGATTGGCAATTTTTGTTGAAAGTGATGCTTGCCATGGGTATGTCTGCTGAATTTGTGAAATTGTTTGAGGCGTGTGTCACCTCTCCTATGTTAAGCGTCTCTTTAATGGGGGGATGTGTGATATTTCACAGCTGGTAAGGGATTGAGACAGGGGGATCCATTGTCCCCTATCTATTCACCATAGCAATGGAAGTCTTTTCATGTCTTCTTACTAAGGCAGTTGAAAGTAGTGTCATTCCTTATCATCCACGTTGTAAAAGTCTTGGTAGTTCACATATGTGTTTTGCAGACGATCTGTTAGTCTTCTCTAATGGACCTTCCCAAGCTATTTCTGGTATAAAACAGTTGTTGGATCAATTTTATACTATTTCGGGTCTTAAATGCAACCCCCAAAAATGCCAGTTATTCTGTTCAGGCCTCTCACAGGATGATAAGCAGGTATTTCTCTTCAATGGGTTCCCTTTAGGTGATCTCCATGTTCGTTACTTAGGGGTACCTCTCCTTTCTAGAAAACTGACGTCGGTTGATTGTGAATATCTTATGGATAAGATCACTAAAAGGATCCAATCCTGGCAAGCTAGATCTCTGAGCTACGCAGGGAAATTACAATTAATTGACTCGGTTATTACAAGTGTATCCTAGTATTGGATGTCGATTTTCTTGCTTCCCCTGAAGGTGTTTAAGATGATTGAGAATATCTGTAACAAATTCTTGTGGGGTGTGGATGGAGATAAAAGGAAGAAAGCTCCTGTTGTTGTGGTTTAGGCATTTGAGATTTTAAGAACTGGAATAAGGCTTGTGTTATCAGGCATTTATAGAATTTATTGGTTGAGGGTGGATCTTTATGGGTAGCCTGGATGTGTTAGTATAGGATTAAAGGGAGAGACCTTTGGTGTCTTTCTCTTAGCTCGACAAGTACGTGGGTGTGGAGGAAGATTCTTAAGTGTTGTGGATTGGCACAACAACATATTACTGGTAGTTGGGAATCATTGCCGTGGGATGGGATAATCTTGGCTAAGTACTCAGTGAAGACAGTGTGGGAAGCAATTCGAATTCCATCACCTGAGGTATCATGGTCTCATCTCTTGTGGAATAGGCCGATCTACCCTAAGCATTGCGTCCTGGTGTGGCTAATCTTTTTGGAGCGAATCAGAACACGTGATAAGTTGATCGGCTGGGGAGTCAGATGTGATGCTTGTTGTGTTTTGTGTCTTGGGGAATGGAGAGTAGAAATCATCTGTTCAGTTCTTGTTCATATGGCAGTGCTGTTTTGAAACAGGTGTTGCAGGGGATTTGTGTATTTCTTGGCTTCCATGACTGGCATTTGCACCTGGACTGGGCAGAGAGAAGCTGGTCTCAAACCTCTGATGCAGCTGTGGTGGGTATAGTTCTTTGGTTAATGGGAATCAGCTGGGTATGGAAAGAGCGATGTGCACGGGTTTATGGAACAGTAGCAGCCAACTCCCCTTTGCAGCTGGCAGCAAGGATCAAGCAAGAGTATTTGATTTTTGTAGGCAGTCATATTAACTTCCAGTTGAGACTACAAAAGTTTCATGTAACTAGTTAGTTATGGTATAGTTTTTTGGTTTATAGAGTTGTAAATAGACAGTTACATTTTGAGAGGGAAGTTGCGAGTTGCACTTCCCCGGGCTTCAATTCAATTTTTGATTAACCATAAAAAAATTCTAATCTTTTGATCAATGAAATGGGCAGTTAAGCACATAAAACTATCTTGCTTGTTTGAAGTCCATGCATCAGTACTCAAACAAATTCTTCCTTCACAAATTTGAAAAAACCTTTTCAACTTGTCTTTCATTTCACTATAGAAGGCAAAGCAATCCCTAGTGATTGTTCTTCTAGAAGGAATATTGAACACATGGCAACATACTGACATGAAGTACTTAAACCACATCTCATCAACGAACTTGAATGTTTTTTCATCAACAATGAGCATGTAAGCTAATCCTTTTCTAGTAGCCTCTTGACCAACCTTCCAGTTCGTTAAAGTACCCTCACATTCTACCCTAGTTTTTCCTAAGTTCAATAGTTGTTGAGTAGTACCTTTTTGTCACCACAGCCCTTTCGCATATGAACATTCATAGCATTGGTACCATTAACAAATCGATCGGCCTCATACTCCTTCCCACACTTCATACACCTTGACATCTTGTATCCGTCCGGGGCAATGAACTTTGTGAATTGAGTCCAACACACGGCTCTTGACTTCATCTCCTTTCTTTTTGGTTTTAGAGATTTTTTTTTTGTAGTAGAGTCGTGACGGACAACAGCTTCCTCCACCTCTACGGGAGCATCACCGGCCGATGAATCCTCTTCCTACACAATCAATAACTAAACACAATCAACACCAATACACCAACATAAACACAAACATCAGTAGCATAAAAATTACAAAAGGCAGCAGCTAATACGTATTGCCTAGTCCTTAAACAACCAAATTTCCTTCTTCTAATCCCTCCTTACTTTTTAAACCTCTCTTGTTGTCATGTGTCCTCATCCAAACTTATAAACTATTTCCATTGCAAATACTACTGAATTAACAGTAAAATAGATCATCCAAACTTATAAATTATAAAATATTGCCAACTTACAAAAAATCTGCCTTGTCCTGCTCCTAACTAACTATAAACCATTGCAATTAACAATTTTACACTGAAATTCTGGACAATTAATAACCTACCAAAACATGGACTTCCTCAATATTCTTATATTTGCTTAGTTTTCGACTGGTGGAGGTAGTCATGTCGATTGTGGCTTTAGAGGTCTGGACTTCGGAGTTGGAGCGTAGGAGGAGAGGAGGCGATTGGTGGCAGCCTCGCAGAAGAGTCAGTGGCGGCCAGGGGAGACTCGACGACCGACGGTTACCTACCTGGGTGGGACTGTGGGTGTGCGAGGCGGCGACCGGTGTATGGTGGCTGGTGCCTAGTGGCGTGGGCGGGGATCGAGTCGAGAGGGAGAGGCCGTCAACCATCTGGTCGTTGTCTCGTCGAGGTAGGGGCCGGGATGGGGAGACGCCGAAAATGACGCAGCCTCGCAGTCGCAGGTCGGGGCCGTTGGCGTCACGCTCGGGCAGTGGAGGAGTAGTCCCCGCGTCGGGCGTCGACCGTCGCCTGCTTCTTCCGTTCCTTCCCTTTCCCTTTGAGGTTTTGACAATTCTCTAGGGTTAGGTCAAAGTCGATCTCGATTTGGGGTAGAGGCGTAGAGCAACAGCCAGCAGGCCACGAGAGTCCAGACGCAGACGACAGACAACAAAGGCACAATCCAATTTGTGGGGCGGAGTGGGTTGAAAAAGAGGGTTGGGCCGGGTATTGGGCTTGAGCGCTGGGCATTGGGCAGTTGAGTATTTCGGAATTCGGTTGGTATTTCAGTATTTTGGTTAAGTTCAAACGAACCTGGTATCCAAAATTTACCATATTCACATCCGAATTTCAAACCTAATTGGATTTATTTTGATTTCAGTTGGTTTTTGTTCAATTCGGCTTGATAAAACCGAACCTAATGCCCACCCCTAATAACACACCATGAATAGCATAGTAGCATTGACATAAGAATCTGAGTGTTTGGTTCCCTTCGAAAAAAAGGTCACCAAAATTACAAACTTGAGCCCAACTTACTTTCCTGCACTTCTCTTGCCTTCCAGGCTGGCCCTCTCTTGTCCAAGGCCCAATATAAACATTTCGCTAAGGAGCTTACTGAGAAGGCCCGCAAACTCCGTGCCATGATGGTTTCTTTTAGATATCAAGTGTCTTGCATTTGGTTCTACCTATCTTTCCATTCTGGATTATCTATAAAAAATAATGAAATATTACATCTTTATTATCTCAAACCTGTCCTTCATGGTTATGATAATTTATAACTTGATAACGTATTTAAGAGTGACGAAACTCTCATCGACCAAAAAAATCCCTATTATTGATAATATTCAAAAGGATATTATGATTACTTTATTACTATAAATTAATTAATATTATCTCTATGATAGTAATTAGGGGGCAGGAGATTGCAACTTGCAAGTTGTTTGGTCAAGGAAGCAAAGACCGCCAAAATGCAAGAGTTAATTAACACAGCGAGAGTTGGAGTGCCACAGGGAAATCCCATCAGAAAAAATCAATAATCCAAAGCCAGTGTTTGAAGTAGACATACTAGCGTCACAGAAATGTCCTCATCTTGGAATCCATACACAGCCAGCCTTGTTCCAATCACACAACAAAAACAGAGCCAAGAATCCACCCACAAATTCCCATTTCTGGTGTTGGGTCGAATCATATATAAAACTCGGCATACGGAATTAGATAATCAGAAGAAGAAGAAAAGGAAGTAAAGAAAGATTTTGTTTTGGGGGGCCTTCCTCTGTTTTCTTTACTTTCTTTCCTTCTCTCTCTGTTTCTCCATTTGTTGAGCTGATCATCAATGGCGGATTATGGTGGCGGACACCAGCGGGAAGCCAGCAAAGGAGCGAACAACTCTTCGATATGGAGCAGCGACACCAGCGCGGTGGGTGCCATGTCGATGATGGACGAGGACGACAAGAGGGCTCTTCGTCGAAGGAAGAGGAGGACCGCGTCGGTGTACAAGGGAGAGAAGGGAGAGCAGAGCCTCCACAACCTTGGCTTGACTGAAAGGCGCGCTTTGATCGATAGCTTAGTCAAAGTCCCCGAGATTGACAATGAGAAGTTCTTGCACAAGTTGAAGAGCCGCATTGACAAGTACGTATAATGCCCTGCGGAGCTGCATTTGATTCTATTAGTTGGCATGATAATTGAAATATGTTCCAATTTTGGTTGCAGAGTTGGGATCGAGCTTCCGACCATCGAAATTCGGTTTCAGAACCTGACAGTGGAGGCAGAGGCTCGATCTGCGAGCAGAGCTCTGCCTACCATGTACAATTTTGTACTCAACATAGTAGAGGTAAGAAAGCACCTAGGTACTGATGAACAATTTGAATTTCAACACAATGTAGTTGTTTCCATTTGAATGGTGGATTGATGATTGTTTGTATCTCTTTGAGAAGGGTTTTTTGGGTGCCTTTCGAATCAGATCAAACAAAAAGATGAAACTCACAATCTTGAAAGGAGTGAGTGGAGTGATCAAACCATCCAGAATCACGCTGTTACTTGGTCCTCCAAGTTCAGGGAAGTCCACCTTCATGTTGGCACTGGCAGGCCAACTTGACCCCGATCTTAAGGTTCGTTTGAAATAAGCCTAAAATTGTCACTAAAAGTGATACAACCGGAAGGTCTTTGTAACAATATTTTTGACATCTAATTATAGGTCTATTATGAAATTACTACCAAAATTAATAAAATTCTTGAAATGGGTGCAGAGCTCAGGCAATGTAAGCTACAACGGTTTCCAAATGCATGAGTTCGTGCCACACAGGACGGCAGCCTACATAAGCCAACACGACAATCATATCTCAGAAATGACTGTGAGAGAGACTCTAGCCTTTTCTGCCCGATGTCAGGGCGTGGGGTTCCTAAGTGGTACGTACTTAAGTGGTTCATAAAATAAAAGCCATTGTATATGTTACAATATTAGTTTTGATGATTTAATATGAGGTTCGTGGGGTTGTATTATTATAGAGATGCTTGAAGAATTGTTGAAGAGAGAAAAGGCTACCCACATTAAGCCTGATTCTGCTGTTGATCTCTTCATGAAGGTAATTAAACTGCCACTAATAGCTTTGAGCAATATAATTGCTAGTAGAAAGTTGCATTTCTAAGTGTATCAAAGTCACCAAGTTAACAAAATAATAAGTATAAGGTTGCATGT